CCTGGTTGAGGATCCTCCTTTCCTTTGCCGACCTGCCACACTTCCTAGCATCATGTTCCTCTCCAAGGAATAGCCCCTCCTAGAAACGTACCTGAAGTGCGTGAGGCGAAGCCTCATCATTCTTGCCTCCAACGAGCACTCCAGCTTTATCCTCCTCAAGATAAATCTATTTGTTCTCTTGGCTGTCCATGAGATGTTCAGTGTTCTTCTCCAACACCACAGCTCAAAGACATCAAGTCTTCTTACCAGACATTTTGCTTTCTTTCTTCCTTTTCAAATCATCCTTAAATTTCAATGTAGTTCTTTAAAGTGGTCAAATGTTTTCAGCAAATCTGTAAACTAAAATTTATCTATGAACCACAACTTTAAAATATCTGTGTGTTTTTTCCTGGGTTTCAGCATCAAAAATAAAAAGTAAAATAAAATAAAAAACCAAACCAAAACACCCCACAACCAACCAACCTATGTTTAATTTATAATAATAATTTTTTAAACAGAAAGTCTTGATGGAATGTATAAAAGTAATGTACAACCAACTAAAGTCTTTAAGAGGAAACTGGGGGTAAAAATATCTCTAAATATGATTAGCCTTATTTTCAAAGACCTTTAGATATATAATTTTTCCAATTCACAGCAACCCTCTAGTGAGCTTCTAAGCCTGTTAAGCTTTATGGGAGGAAGAATGCCCACATTTCTCCCTCAAAGGAGCTGGTGAAGTCTAACGCAGATCTTGGTTAGGAGTCCAACATGTAATGCATTACGCCAGCAATGTACCTTTGCATATCATAAACACAATGCTGTCAAGTCAATTCTGATTCCCAGCCACCTTCCATCAAGTTTCTGAGGCTGTAAATCACAACAGGAGACTTCCCATCCTTATCCTGCAGAGCTGCTGGTTAATCCAAACTGCCAGAGAGTTGTACCTTTTGGATTAGCAGTGAGACTTGCAGCAGACCGCATAGGCAGATTACTCTAAAAACAGTCTGGTGGGTATGAGGGCACTATCGTCTGACGTCCACTAACTCCACAAGGGGGAGCACTGTCATCAACAGCACAGAGCTGACTCCTGTGAGAGTAGACATACCTTCACACTCCCATACCTTCCTCTAAGAAGTGGAATAGACAAAACAAAAAGATGAATTTAGAATTGGCTTTGATATATTACTTAATGCAGGCTAATAATGGACACAGGGAGCTCTGATGGCCTAGTGGGTAAGGAGCTGCACTGCCAACCCAAAGGCAGGTGATTCAAATCTACCAGCCACTCTGAAGGAGTAAAATAAGTAATCTCCTCTTGTGTGATTTAAAGTCTTCGGAAACCCACAAGAAAGTCAACAATGAGTTCCAAGTCTATGGCAATGATTAGTAGTAAAAGGGACCTTAAATCTCTGTAAAATGAAGTATTGAGAGTAGCTTAAATTCTCCTCAAATCTGATTATCTAGGATTCTATGATTTCTGTTATTTTTGTCATATTTGCTGTGTTTTAAATATTTTCTTAACGATCATTAAAGGTAACATGTAATGATAAAGTAACCATGGAAATGACATTGTTTTATTGGTTTAAGGTGAACCAGATGTTTGGAAATATTATCCTACACACTGTGAACCTGGTTGGGATCCTTACAATCGTAAATGCTACAGACTTCAGAAAGAAAAGAAGACCTGGAATGAGGCTTTACAGTCTTGTCATTCTGATAATGCCACGTTAATAAGCATACCTTCCTTAGCAGAGGTGGAGTTTCTTGTAACCTTCCTTGGAGATGGTGAGTATCAGCATTTTTTTTCCATTTAAGAAGTGGTGAAATACAATGTAGCTACTGTTCTTATTATTGTAATTGAAAAAAATTAAAGTTGTTAGCAATTACAGCTTGCTTAGCCCCACAATCAACACTCCGGTACCAACAGTCAGGAAATCAATAGACGAATTGCACTAAGAAAGTCGGCTGTCAGGGACCTCTCCAGAATGAAGCAATGGTGTCAGTCTAGAGACTAAGGTGTGACTAATTCAGGCCATGGTCTTCACAATTAACTTTCTGTGCATTAGAGAGGTGGACAATGACTAAGGATGACAGAAGAAGAATTGGTTCCTTTAAGTTGTAATGCTAGACATACCATGGTCCACCAGGAAAACAAATAGGTCTGTCTTTGAGAGGGTGAAACCAAGTTTCTCCTTGGAGGCTGGGATTTTGAAGCTCCATCTCACATACTTGGGGCATGTGGCCAGGAGGGACCGATCCTTGGAGAAGGCCATCATGCTTAATAAGTAGAGTAACAGCGCAGGAGAGGAAGACCCTGAATGAGATGGATTGATATAGTAACTGGAGCAATAGGGTAAATGTGTTGGAATCAGTGAGACTGGCTAAGGATAGGGCAGGCTTCAGAGATGTTGTACATAGGGTCGCTGTGATTCACATGTTACTCAAAGGCACCTAATAACAACAACAATTGAAAAGAAATTTAAGCTATTTGTAAGTATTATCTATGACATACCTAAAATGTCTAAATATTTTCCAGGAGTGAAAAAAAATGCATTGGATTTTTACAAATACATATTTAGAAACTTTTAAACATCCTCATATATTTGAGATATAGTATATGAGTTTTGATCGCTTTTGTTTTGTTTTGGTTTGTTTTTAAAAGGACATAATAATGATCGTTTTCTGAAACATGGTAAAACCTGAACCTGTAATTTACCCTTATGGCCACTAGGTAGCAATATTGTGCTGTGATGTAATCCAAGGATTAATTCTTTAGAACAATTACTGGATTAAAATAACTTTCAGCAGTGAAAATGGATAATTTATTGGATACAGTGGCTTTCAAACTGTGTTTCGTGTTGAATAAAACTGGCATCTGTCCAGTTTTAGTCCACATGAGTATCTCTGCTTGCATTTACAATCCATTCTGCTAAGATGAGTAGCAGACTAGTTACTAAAAGAAGGTCAACTGCATTCCAAATGTTTGATCTGCTGCACCAGTACATGATTCCCAGTATCACCTGTTCCTCCACTTCTCTATGTCCCTTGGTTTCTGTGGTTCACTTGAAGGTCCTACAAAATTACAAGCCTGTCAGAGAGAAGACTCATGTGACTATGGGTGACGCAGGCCATTGTTACACACACGAGTGAGTGCTGGGCCAGGATCCTATAGATTTTCAGTTGCAGCACAGCTAGATGCTGTGTTCCAGGACAACAAGCCTCCCAAAGAAGAGCTAGCATTGAGCATCCATGATGGGGCTTATATCCCACCCTGATCCTATCTCCTTAATAAAATAAAAACTTTATCACAAAATTTTAAAAAAGTTAATAAGTGACTAGGAAAGTCATATGAACAATAAACTCTGATACTACACTGCTCTTTTTTGTTTCTATATTAAGCATAGAATTATGCTGAAAACGAGGAATCACTAATAGAGTTAGGATTTACAACACTAAGGTGCACCTGATCCAGGCCATGGTCTTCGCAATTACTTGCTGTGCATAAAGACTGGACTAAGTGACTAAGGGTGACAGAAGAATTGATGCCTTTGAGTTGTGGTGCTGGAGAAGAGTCTTGAACATACCATGGACTACCAAGAAAACAAAGATCAGTCTTGGAGAGAGTGAGACTTAGTTTCTCCTTGGAGGCGAGGATTTTGAAACTCCATCTCACCTACTTTGGGTTCATCCCCAGGAGGGACCAGTCCTTGGAGAAGGACGTCATGTTTGGAAGGGTAGAGGGACAGCGCAGGAGAGGAAGACCCTGGATGAGATGGAGTGATACAGTAACTGGGGCAATGGGTAGGTGTGTGGGAATTAGTGAGACTGGTTCAGGACAGAGAAGGCTTCAGAGCACTTTGTACATAGTGTTGCTATGAGTCGTAGTCAATTCGATGGGACATAACAACAGCAACAACACTTGGAGCAGTTTGGGGCTGGGACAATTCAAACCATAACAACTTACTCAAAGCAAATTTTGTAAATTGAAAAATGTCCCCAGGCCGTACTCTGATAAGCATCCAGTGCCCTCATCTGTAGGGAGCTGCTTATCCAAAAACTGAGTCTCTCAGGCAGTTTGACCGGCCAACTGTTCATCTGGAGAAAGGTGAGCCCTCTTATAGCCCCAAAACCACTGGAGGGTCAGCTGTGAGTCAACTCGACAGCAGTGAATACTCTGGCAACTTTCTAAAATTAAAATTTCTTTTAGAGTAGGAGACAAAACCTTTCCTCTGTCATCTTCCCTCACCCAAGAATTCTGTGACTACCACTACATCAGCCCAAAAACTCATTGTCAATGAGTTAATTTAGATTCAGTGACCCTGTAGGATAGACAAGATCTCCCCAGTAGGGTCACCATGCATGAGTTAACTTGATGGAAACTAACAGCAGCAGCCTGGTAGGCTTCCCCAAGGCTGTGCCCATGGATGGGAGCAGAGTGCCACATCTTCTTTGGAGTAGCTGCTTAGTTCCATCCGCTGCCCTATCAGTACCCAAGTGCTTACCCACTGTGCCACCAGGGCTCCTGTCGTTTTCACGTCAGACTTTAAAGGTTTCCTCAGGCACCTTCCTAGGTTGTCAAGCTTGGTTTACTTTTCTTGTGATCCTGTTGCTCACGTTCCAACATTGCAGAAGTTTAGATCCCATTTTCCATAGTGGGGGGAGAAGATAAAATTTACACAGTTTTATAAATCTATTTCTTAATAGTTGGACTGTCTTTAAGAATTGTCTTCTTAACGAACTGAGAAGAGGGGGCATGGAGGAAAGTGTGCAACAACGTATGACTGGAAATCCAAAGTCTCTGTAAACTTCCATTAAAATAAAAAAAAAAAAAAAGAATTGTCTTCTCTAATTTTAAATGTCCTTTTCGTACCGACAGGCCTTTCATTGTTGTCTTTCTCTAGGCAGAAGCAAAACCCGATTTGGATCTGTTTTACACAGTCGTTTCGAGGTGCCATCGAGTCGGCACCGGCTCGAGATGGAGCCCTGATGTTGTTTCCTTGAGCCCTTTGTTGCAGCCACGTTGTACATGAAACCAGTTACATCCCAGTTGAACTTTGTTCTCACTTGAGCTTTTTTCCTTGCTTTGACTTCATCTCTGACCCTGCCTCACTTCCCAGGCCTGTATCACAGAAATCAGAGTAGCATGTGAAGCACTGGGGAAGGGAATATAACTAGGTATTTTCATATTTTAATGTTTTTAATTTATCTTCTACTAGTTTATTTAAAAATTCGAATACAAATTCGAACAAAATCTTTCCATTTCCCTCACCCGTCCACCCATCAAATTGTACAACCCTATGATTAATACCCCCTCCTTCTGCACATCCACATCCTCCTGCTTCAAGCCTCTCCCACCCCTCTTAGATCCTTAAAATCATTCTACATTAATGGTTTTATACAATAAGTATCCCTGTGGGACTGAGTTAGTTCACTCAGCATAATTGTCTCCAGTCCCTCCTAAATTAGGTAATAATCTACAAAATCATTGCTCCTGCATGCTGCATAGTATTCCATTGCATGAATGTATCATAATTTAAGGTTTAAACAGGTTTCATCACACGAAGAAATAAAGAAGAAATCACATTCAAAATGCTTTCTTTTGGTAGTAGTCCAATGTGGTACCACCTTGGCTGGAAATAGGATTCCTGAAAGTAATTTCTATTTCTCTCTTACAGAAAATGCATCAGAAACATGGATTGGTTTGAGCAGCAGTAAAATTCCAGTGTCCTTTGAATGGGCCGAGGGTTCAGCAGTCACTTTTACTAATTGGCAAACACTTGAGCCCCACATTTTTCCAAACAGAAGCCAACTATGTGTCTCCGCAGAGCAGTCTGTGAGTTCATTCACTTATTCAATGCACATTCTTCTGGGCTGGTATTGAGGGACACTTGGGCCGCAACAGGGAACAAGACAAGCCCAGATCCTGCTTCTCATAGGGTTCAATGCGAGCCGGTGAACAAGTACACACAGAAAGAAAAGGGGGGAAACTTAGACTATCGCAGTGATGGTGACACAAGGAAGTAGACGCCTTAATGGTGATGGGTCAGCTACTTTAAACAGGCCAGCTGTGGAAGTCTTTCTGAAAGAGGAACATTTAAAAGAATAAGAAGGATCTAGCCAATTGATGAGCAGAGGGGTAGCATGTAAAAAGTGCTGTGTCTGTCAATCAGGAGACCAGAGTGGCCCGAGGACAGGAATGGTTAGCAGGTGGGGAAGGAAGAATGCAGTTAGTTTATCAGCTGGGCAGATGAGCCAAGTAAGGGCTTTCATGAGACACAGGTGGTTCAATGATAAGTGTCTACTAATCTCCGTGCATCACATGCTCGTTCACCACCTGTTTGCCAGAGGAGCCTTGTGTGTTGCTGTGATGATGAACAGTTTCAGTGGTGCTTCCTGACTTAGACTAGGAAAAAGAGGCCTAATGACCAACTTCTGAAAGTCACCCCATGACAACTCTGTGTGGACTGCAGCATACAAGAGGTCGCATGACCACCAGCAAAAAGGACTGTAAGGAGATGGATGGTGTCATCTTGTTTCCTTTCAGAAAGTAGTTGTGGAGGAGGGTGGGAAGGAAGGAAGAGTCAACTGTATAGAAAATGGTTTGCAGGAAGCAATGCAGGCAGAGAAACCTGTCTGGTGGCTACTCCAGTTGCCGAATTAGGGTCATAAATATGAGAGACTCAGACAGAGTCCCATTCCCTTTTGGATACGGGATTTGCTGCTTAATTAGATAGGGGAAAGAGAGAAAAGTAGATTTGGGGTGGCACATGTAGGTGATATCATTAAACCCCAGGGTAGAGATGAGGAAAAGAAGTGAGGCCTCGAAGATTAATCTGAAAAATGAGTTTTTAAACTCAGTTGCTGAGTAACTTAAAAAATACTTCAAAATCCTGCATAATCTCTTTGAAAGTGGCACATCAATGGAAATCTTATTCTTTTCTTCACATGAATGTGGCCCTACCATCACTATTATTCCTGTGTTCTAGTATTCCTTTATCTCAAGTTTATCACTGTCCCCAACCACTGTTACTGAGTCTGGTACAATTCAGGATGACTCACTGGATTTCTGATGCTAGAAATCTTTATAGGAGGAGACCACACTTCTCTGTACACTGGAGTGGCTGGTGGATTCCAACTATCACCATGGTTAACAGCTCAACATGATAACTATTACACCTTCAGGGTTCCTACTTAAATCTCAAGCCATGTAACGGTTTTATTGTAAATTTTAAACAGATTTAGTCTCCTCACTGATGAGCTACTGAACTGTAATGAGTTCGTGATGATTAGGAGGGAGCAGCCTCTTTCTGGCCACCAAGATATCATATCAGATTTTCCAGAAGAGCAGTTTTGAAAGTGTGATCAGTGATTTTGCCAGTCAAACATCAAAAGTCTCTAAGCAGTTATTTTCATAACATATTTAGTGATCTACTTTTTTAAGAGGTCACAGGCATGTGCAGCTTCAAATTTAAAGGCTAAGGCCTTTATCAGAGTAATAATTGAGGAGAGAGAGACAATGATCCTCTAGATAGCTCTCATGGTCTACCAGTTGCCTTAGAGTCATTCAAACTCATGATCCCACAAATGTCAGAGTGGGGCTGTGCTCCATATGGGTTTTTAGTGTCTAGAATCTTTTGGAAATTGATCATCGGCCTTTCATCTGAAGCTCCTCTGGGTAGATTTGAACCCCCGACTTTCAGTTAGTAGGGAAACACTTCACCATTTGCTTTCTCTTGTGTCATGACCACCTAAAATGCACCAGATTATTCTATAGTTCTTCTTGGCTCACCTTAATTTTCAGGGAAATGTTTTCCCTTTTTATTTGCTGGACAAGGGTATTTAATTTAGCACATTTATAAAACAGGTACCAGCATTTGGGCCAGAAGGTAACTTTTAGGAGAGCAAGGAAAGGAGAGTGTGAATGAGCTGATAGTGCAATTTCAAGTACGATGTGTGGTGGGCATTTTTTAGGAATTTCACAAACACCTTAAATAGTACATGGTTAGAATGTAACATTTATTCCCATGAAATAGAACTCGTTATGAATATAATTATTCCAATGGACAAGTTAGCTGATCATGGTTGACCAGGAAATTTGAATGTGATAGTCTAGGAAACTACTTGAACTTTTTGTTTACTCATCCATCCAATTATCCTCTAAATTAAGTAGTTTGCTGGGAGACGCCATCGGGGAGGGAGCAATGCTCTCTCACAGATAAGAGTATTTCCCTGCATGCCTTCTGAAGGTAACAGACGGCTCCATAGCCTTTCAAATCCTAGAGACTGGCATAAACCTAAACTTTGAATTGTGTGGTTTTAGCCTGAAGTCCTGACTTGCATTATAATTAAAATTTTACTCTGTTATTTATTATCATATCTCATTATTAATGAAGGCTCTGTGAGTGGTAGAACCACTGAGGTGTCTGTCACATAAAGGAGTGAGGTGAGGGCAGGAAGAACTGGTAGTAAAGAAGGATATCAGAGGTTGAACATGAGATTTCTGCTCTGAGGATGCTACCCAGGTAACTGCCAGGGGTTTTCCCAGCATCACACACAGCATGCTTTCAGTTTAACCCTCAGCAGTGGTTGAAGAGAGGAAGTAATGGTCTTACTTGGTCAGGGACAGGGTTTTATGCTCATAACTCTCAGAGTGTGGCTTTCAGACTAGCTGCATCTGCATCACCCGAATGCTTACAAGAGATGTAAATCTTAAGTGTGCCAACACTTAAGGATGGAGATACTCTGATGATAAGTCCTAGTCATCTGTGTTTTGGCAACCTGTCTAGACAGTTCTGATGCTAAAGATTGAGAACGACTGTTGTATCCAACTTTAAAACAAGATTGAGAGCAGTTTTTGTAAAGGTGACCTTGGCATTAATCCTAGCTTCAGTTTTTGACTCTAGGATCTTGTGTAAAATATTACACTTAACCTTTCAAATGGCAAAAATTAAGTACAGAAGCAATATAATGAAAGCAGGTAAATGCTGGACTACTAGAACAAATGATGACAATTCACACGCATCCCCTAAAAGGAACTTGAAAGAAAGGCCTGGAAATCTGCCTTCAAAAGGTCACAGCCTTGAAAACTGTATGGAGCACAGTTCTACCTTACAGCTGACTTGAGGGCAACTGACAATAATGTTGATTGCACAGTTGAGAAAATAGTGGAAAATCACTTGATAGGATGCCTAGCAGATGGCAGACAATCAAGAAATAGTTGCTCTTCCCTTCCGACCTACCCAATCCAGCCTTATCCCCCTTGGAATTTTCTACACTCCGATAGAACATTTAATCTCCCTTTTCAGACACAGCAGGGTCTTAATTTTTTAAAAAATTTTATTTTATTTCATTATTATTTGTGTGTACCGTCAAATCAGATCTGACTGGTACAGGAGGAGATTGTTCCTCCTTCTCCAGCAGAGCATCTGGTGTAGGGTCTTAATTTATTGCCCTGATCTGAAATAGTATTCTCTTTGCACTTATTTCTAGCTAGATAAAATTCAGATATTGTTCTTGCTATATGCTATCAAGTTGAGCACAACTCCTAGCAAACCTATCAACAACAGTTGTGTAACTTACCCTATCCTATCTCTGACACATCTGCCCCTGTTGCCACAGTCATTGCGTCAATCCATCTCTTCCAGGGTCCTTCTCTCTTGTGCTGACTTTCTACCCATTTCAAGTATGATGTCCTCTCCAAGGACTAGTCCCTCCTGACTACATGCCCAAGGTAGAGTTTGAAAAATCCTTGCTTCCAAGGAAGAACCTGATTTCATCCTCTCCAGAACAACCTCTTTGTTCTCTTAGCAGTCTATTCAATACTCTTCTCCAGCATCACAACTCAAAGGTTCAGCTCTTAAATTCATAGTAAGTAATTGAGAAAACCATTACTTGTATCAGGCGTACTTTATTCCTTAGACTGACACCATTGCATTCTGAAGAGGTCTTTGACAGCGGATTTTCCCAATGCAGCTCATCTTCTGATTTCCTGACTACTGTTGCTGATTGTGATCCAAGAAAGATGAAATTATTACCAAATTAAATCTTTTCTTTATTTGTCATGATGCCACCAATTAGCCCAGTGGTGACAATCTTTGTTTTCTTGATGTTGAGCTTCACTCTATATTGAAAGCTGTAGTCCTTGACTTTCTGCAGCAAATGCTTCAGGTCCTCCTGAGTTTTGGCGAGCACATTTGTGTCATCTGCATAACATTGCTTGTTGATGAGTCTTCCTCCAATTCTGATATCACATTCCTCTTCATAAGTCCAGCCTCTCGAATGATCTGTTCTGTAAGCAGATTGAAAAGATACGGAGACAGGACACATCCCTGATGCACTCCTTTCCTGATTTTGAACATGCAATCTTCCCTTGCTCTGTTCTAATGACTGCCTTCTGGTCCAAGCATAGGTTTCACATGAGCACGATCACGTGTTCTGGGATTCCCATTCTTCTGAAGGTTAGTCACAATTTGTTGTGCTCCACACAGTCAAATGCTTTTGCATAGTCAATGAAACACAGACAGACATTCCTCTAGTACTCTCTGCTTTGGCCAGGATTTATCTGACAATGACAGTAATGTCCCTAGTGTCAAGGCCTCTTCTAAACCCAGCTTGTATTTCTTGTAGTTCTCTGTTCCAGTGGCTTTTTTATAATCTTCAGCAGAATTTTGCTTGTGTGTGATATTAATGACATTGTTTGATAATTTCCACTCTGTTGAATCACCTTTTTATGGGAATGGGAATACATATGGATGTCTTCCAGTCAGTTGGCCAGGTTATTGTCCTTCAGATTTCTTAGCACAGCCCAGTGAGCACTTTCAGGGCTGCATCTGTTTATTGAAATATGTCAGTTGGTATTCCATCAATTCCTGGGGTCTTGTTTTTGCTAGTTTTCTCAGAGCAGCTTAAACTTCTTCCCTCATCAACATTGTCTCGTGAATATAAGTTTCTCATTAAATACTTTGTCAGCCAGTTCTTTTTAGTACAATGATTCGATGCTTCCTGGATCATTCAATATTCTGCCCATAGCATTCTTAAATATTGCAACTTGAGGCTTGAATTTGTTCTTCAGTTCCTTCAGTCTAAGAAATGCTGAGGGAGTTCGACCTTTCTGATTTTCCGATTCTAACTCTTGTACATATCATTGTAATACTTCGTTTTCCTGAGATGCCCTTTGAAATCTTTTATTCATTTCTTTAACTTCTTAATTCTGTCCTTTTGCTTTTGCTTTTCGCCACTCTAGTGCAACTGATGACATCCATCGACTCTTCTGACATCCATCTCAGTTTTCTTCCTTTGTCTTTGTAATGACCTTTTGCATTCTAACTGGATAATATTCTTTTTTTCTGAAGTATTTTTAAGTGTATACTTAACAATATGTTGTTGTTGTTGTTGTTGCTGTTGTTAT